TAGCAGGTCGAGGCTGTGGTGGCTGGGAGTGTGCCACTGCCCTCCAGCCTGGGTGACAGAGTGAGATTCCATCTAAAAAAAAAAAAAAAGAAATTGGAAGCTTAAGACTACAAGGCACAAACCATAATTTTAGGAAAAGGTGATACATTCATACTACATTAAAAATGTGAAATTTTAGTATCAGAAGACCACAAACAAGTTTAAAGGTAAATGATAGACCAAACAGTGATTTAGTCTATTCTGCTTGCTATAACAGATTATATCAGAACAGATGGGTTTATCTGATTTTGTTTTGGTACCTCAGCAAATAGCAACTGAAACAAAGTACACTAAAACACAGCTGAATGTAATAAACTACAGAATTAAACACTATGACACAGAATGCCCAGCATTCATTCTTTTTGGTTCAGTTTAGCCATGAGTTCTCTCTTGGAATAATTATTGTGTGTTTCTCTTTTCCTTTGTGCATTTCATATTTATTTTCATAATTTACCAGCTTCAACCGCTTCTTATCTACCTCCTCCTTTTAGAATATTTTAGGATGGAGTGTTTATTAGGAACCTAAATACCTTTCAAACTTGTCAGTATTTTTATTATAGTTGTTTGGGTTTTTGTTAGTATTTTGGTGACTAGATTGCACAAGTGGTCTCCCCTATTTACTCCCATAAGCTCTATAAATTTTAGGGTGCAGTTATGCATATTGCAGAGTTTTTCAGTGTTTCACATGTTGCAGCATATCAGAAATGCCTAACGTACATAAAACAAATGATTTAGTATCCAGAAGATGAACTTTTAGGTTGTAAAACATTTTTTTGTAGAACTTTGAACACATGATTCTATTGTCATTTGTTACTGCTAATGAGTTTGTTGCTAATCTGATTCTTTTCATTAGTAATTGATATAATTTTTACTCTCCTTGAAAGATATTAGAAGTTGAAAAATCATTATTTGAAATTTTCCAGTGATCTGTGTGGATGGTGTGATTCTTTAAAATTTATTATATAGGTAATTCACTTATATCGTTCTGCCTAAATATTGTTTGGCTCTGGAAATTCCCCTTACGCTCTCATGTTCTCCTTTGCTTCTTTAAAAATTCTGTTTTCTCTTTCTGTCTTTTATGTTATGGCTGTTAAGCCACTGAATTAGGAAGGGCACTTCTGTGCTTTCTCTCTCTGGTTAAATTTACTTTCCTTTTTTTCTAGCAATTCTTCTTTTCTTTTTTTTTTATTTGAGCAGTTTTTTTTTTTTTAAAGCTCAGATGGTAATCTTAATTTAGTTATTTTTGTAGCAGTTTTAACATAACTACTTTTGTCTAAAGGTGCTCCTAATTAAATTTTTGTTTCCATTTAAGTATAATATGTATATAGAAGAGTGCCCCTCTCTTAAATATCTAGCTCAGTGACTTTTCCCAAACTGAGTACTCCTGTATAATCAGTACTCATGACAGGCAACAGAACATTAACAGCACCCCAGAAGCCCTCATAATGCTCCCTTCTCCCAGGAGTATATTCCATCTCCTTTAGGTACCATTGTCCTGACTTTTAACAACCTAGTTTCACTGCTTCTTTTACATTATAAAAATAGAATCATGCATTTCCTACTTTTTTGTATCTGGCTTGTTTGGCTCAACATTATGTTCCTCCATATTGTTACTTGTAGTTGTAAATTTTTCACTCCCAATACAACAAACTGTAGTTTTCATTTTGTAAGTATACCATAATTTATGCATTTTTCTGTGCGTGGGCATTTGTATAGTTTTTAGTTTGGAACTGTAACAAATAGTGTGGCTGTGAACTTTCTAGCAGTTTTTTTTTCTGACATAGGTACTTTTGTGGGGGATATACTTTGGAGCGGAATCTATGGGTTCTAGTATATATTGCCAGCCAATTTTCCAAATGGTTGTGTTGACAGTTTGCACTCTCATAGTACCGGATGTGAGTTTAGGTTGGTTCACATCCTCCTCGGCACTTGATATTTTTCACCATTTTTTGTTTTTTAGTTGTGTTGTTATCACACTTTTACTATTTCCTTGTTGAATAAATGGGCTTTGAAATTTTGCTTTTTTAAAATCCCCTTTCCTAAATATAGCTTTTGTTTATACATGTTGCTTGTTTAGAATCTTTTAACACTGTTTATATTAAGTTGTTTGTAATTAATTATTAAATTAGCCACCATACTGACTAATTTACCCACTAAAAATTACTATTCTACTTCATTTTTTTTTTTTTACTCAAGCTTTACTGTTTCATGTATGACTATGCGTTTGATGAATTTTGCTGGTATGGACTTTGTTGACAGTTTCAATTCCTTATTCAAAGAGGAAAGTTTAGCTTGACTGTCAGGAGTTGGGTTTTTTTTGCTTTTGTTTTTGAGTCAGAGTCTCACTCTGTCGCCCAGGCTGGAGTGCAGTGGCACACTCATGGCCATGGCAGCCTCAGCCTGCTGGCCTCAGGTGATCCTTCTGCCTCAGCCTTCCAAGTAACTGGAGCTATAAGGCATACGCCACCACCACGCCCAGCTAATTTTTTGGTTTATTGTAGAGATGAGGTCTAGCCAAGTTGCCTAGGCTTGTCTCGAACCTGTGGACTCAAGCAGTCCTCTCACTTTTGCCTCCCAAAGTGCTGGGATTACCAGTGTGAGTCAATGAATCCAACCACTAATTTTTAATTTAAACAATTATGCTTACAAATGATGGTTTTCTAAGTTTGAGAATTTATACTTCTTAAATTATTAAAGCTCAAAATGGTAAGGTGAGTGTGTCTCTAGTCCTGTCTTCTTGGGAGGCTGAAGAGGGAGGACTGAGCTCAGAAGTAAAGTAAAAATTTGCAGAGTTAAAAAAAAAGATCACACTAAGACTTTTGGGACACCCTCTCTTTAAGAATTTTAGTAAGTATTGACATGTTATCTGGAAATAGAAAACACTCATTTCCTTATATCTCCATTAACACGGGGTTAAAAAACATTTTTTATTGTGTATTACTTTTTTAGAGACAGACTCTCGCTATGATGTTCAGGCTGGCCTTGAGCTCCTGGGCTCAAGCAGTCCTGCCACCTTGGCTTCTTGAGTAGCTCGGGCTATATAGGCACACACCATTGTGCTCAGTTTTGGTTATTTTGTAATTCTTAAAATAACATATTTTAAAAGTATTTTTAAAATAAAGTACTGCAATAAGCATTTTGTGTTTATTATCTATTTAGATATTTAAAACTGAAAGTATTCTTAAGCGTTTCTCAAATTATGTTCCATTGCACACTGTTGTGGGAAATTTTTGTATTTCCTGACCAAATAATTTTGGGTAACACTTGTGTTTTCCTTGACAGGAAATCTATTAACTTTATCCTAGAACTTCCCAGATCACTTTGTGTACTCTTTTGCAGTAGACTATTCATATCTTGTATAGCAATGTCTTGGTGTATATCAGTTTGAGACAAAAGCTGATCTGGTCTATCCTTGCATTTTTTTTTTTTTTTTTTGAGTTGGACTCTCACCCTGTCACCCAGACTGGAGTGCAGTGGCCACTCCCGGCCACCACAGCCTCGACCTGCTGGGCTCCGGCAATCCTTCCGCCTCAGCCTTCCAAGTAGCTGGAACTACAGGCGCGCGCTACCATTCCCAGCTAATTTTTTATTTATTGTAGAGAAGAGGTCTTGCCAAGTTGCCCAGGCGGGTCTCAAACCCGCGGGCTCAGGCAGTCCACTCACCTTGGCCTCCCAAAGTGCTGGGATTACAGGTTGAGCCACCGAGCCCGGCTCATCCTTGCGTTTTGTAAGGGGAGGAATTGGAGGTTCAGTGTGGTTTCGTGTTTTGCCTAAGATCACACAGCTACTAAATTGGCAGAGCCAGAATAGGATATAGTTCTTCCTTTGCACCATGCTTCTTCTGGTAATGTTATATATTATTAAAATATTTATTTTTTACATACTGTGTCAAAAAGTTCTAAGACAGCTGGGCTTGGTGGCCTGGGCAACTTGGCGAGACTTCATCTCTACAATAAATCAAAAAATCAGCCGGGCATGGTAGTGCATGCCTGTAATTCCGGCTACTTGGAAGGCTGAGGCGGAAGGATCGCCAGAGCCCAGCAGGTCGAGGCTGCGGTGGCTGGGAGTGGCCACTGCACTCCAGTCTGGGTGACGAGTGAGACTCCAACTCAAAAAAAAAAAAAAAGTTGTAAGACAAATTCATGTCATTTCTTTTATATTTCCATCCAGTCTAGTTATCAGTCCTGTTACCAGTTTTTTTCCCTTTTTTTGAGTCGGAGTCTCACTGTAACTCCCAGGCTGGAGTGAGTGGCACAATCACAGCTCACTGTAGCCTCAACCTCTTGGGTTCAGGTGATCCTCCTGCCTCAGTCTCCTCTGAGTAGCTGGGACTACAGGCGCATACCACTATGCCCAGCTAACTTTTTGTTTTTTAAATTAAATTTTTTTCCTAGAGTCTCACTCTGTCATCCAGGGTGGAGTGCGGTGGCACATTCCTGGCCATGCAGCCTCCAACTGCTGGGCTCAGGTGATCCTTCCGCCTCAGCTTTTCAAGTAGCTGGAACTACAGGCGCTTGCCTCCACATCTGACGGATTTTTTGATTTATTGTAGAGACGAGGTCTTGCCAAGTTGCCCAGGCTGATCTTGAACTGTTGGGCTCAGGCAGTCTTCTTGCCTCTGCCTCCCAGAGTGCTGGTATTACAGGCGTGAGCCACCAGGCCCAGCCTAATTTATTATTTTTTGTAGAGTCGAGGTCTTGCTATGTTGCCCAGGCTGGGCTTGAACTTCTGGGCTCAAGAGATCCTTCTGTCTCAGCCTCCCAAAGTGCTGGGATTAAAGACATGAGCCACCCTGCCTAGACTCAGTTATCAGTCTTATCCTCTGAGTTATATGTATACAGTTCTTAACATTTTGAGATTTATATACTTAAGAATCATTTAACTTATTTAGCATGACTACATATCCATAATTACTTGTTTGTGCTTAATTATAGAGATGAAAAGAGTGATTTTTTCTGCAGTTAATGTGTCACCATGTTTGGTTTAGTTTCTGTAGAAAATGTTTCCTGACTGCAATGAGAGAAAGTGGAGTACACTGTCCCCTGTGCCGTGGAAATGTGACCAGAAGAGAGCGAGCATGTCCCGAACGGGCCTTAGACCTTGAAAATATCATGAGGAAGTTTTCTGGTAGCTGCAGATGCTGTGCAAAACAGGTAGAGCAAATGTGACATAGCTCTTCTTTGAAAGTCAAGTTTCTACTTTGAAATTTCTGTTTGAATTTTCTTGGTGGGTTCTATTTTGAAAAGAAAGAAGTTATTGAGATTGGGAATTGGGCAGAAAAGGCCTAAAAAACTGTGGTTATAGATCTTACTAGATTATAAACTTATTGAGAACCAAGACTGAAAAATAAAATCTGAATCCATTGATTTGTCATTATAATTTTTAGCATGGTATTTCTAAAAGTAATTGCTCACTGATTACTAATATAACTAAATGAGCAAGCTGGTATGTAGCTCATTTAAACCCATTCTGGTACAAATGCAACCCTGAAATAATTCTTATGGTAGTTTCATTACAACTTTGCACAAAGAAAAGTAAATCATTTGGATTTATGTAGTCAAGGAATGCTCTAGCTGCTCACTTTGCTTTTGTATTTATCTAAGAAATTACAAAATAGCCGGGCTTGGTGGCTCAGCCTGTAATCCCGCGCTTTGGGAGGCCGAGGTGAGTGAATTGTCTGAGCCCGCGGGTTTGAGACCCGCCTTGGCAACTTGGTGAGACCTCATCTCTACAATCAATCAAAAAAAAAAATTAGCCGGGCGTGGTAGTGCGCGCCTGTAGTTCCAGCTACTTGGAAGGCTGAGGCGGAAGGATCGCCGGAGCCCAGCAGGTTGAGGCTGCGGTGGCCGGGTGTGGTCACTGCACTCCAGTCTGGGTGACAGAGTGAGACTCCAACTTTAAAAAAAAGAAAGAAAGAAAGAAAGAAATTATAAAATATTTGGTTAATTTTTGAGGCATATGTAGGAAAAGCAGGTGTTAACAAATAACCAGCATTAATTCTCTTACCTAGATTTTATTTTTGTTATTTGGAGAAGGAATGAAATGGTATGAGGGGTGGTTAGGCTTTGAGTATATTCATGTGTCTATGGATTTATTGCTGACATTTTTTCTAACAGCTAATAAAGTTAGTGAGCAAAACCAGTTGCTATTTCATGCATTCATACAAGTCTGATATGCTTTTCCATCTCTTTGAGGGAGGTGTTTAACTGACAGGGCAACGAAGCAAAACTGGAAAACACACTTGAGAGATTCTGGCTTTTCTCCTCAGTGAGAAACTGAAAAATGTTCCAAGTAATAACCAGGGAACTTAATTTTTTTATAAAACACTTTCTAACTCTGCCAGGCAGTGGTAGTTAATTGTAAAGAAATGTCCAGTAGCGTCAAGCATTCTCTTAATAATTTTAATTTTTAGTCTGTTTGAAGTGTTGTCTTTTCAAGTGTAAAATTATTTGTTAGTATTTTTTGCAGTGAGTTTATGGACAGATGGACTCTTCCCCATAGTCTCTGCATCTAATGGACAGAAGGACAGAAATGTATTATCTAATTTTAGCTCCTACTTAAGGATGAAATCATTTACTTTAAAAAAAGACACTTGTTTAAATATAATATTTAGTTATCTGGTTTTTTTCTCTTGATAGTATCTCAAACTTGAGAGTTCTATTTTAAATTAAAAATCACATTTAATCAATAATTTACAGATTAAATTCTATCGCATGAGACATCATTACAAATCTTGTAAGAAGTATCAGGATGAATATGGTGTTTCTTCTATCATTCCAAACTTTCAAATCTCTCAAGATTCAGTAGGGAGCAGGTAAGCAATATTTATTCCTAAAAAAAAAGAATTTTTATAATTGAAAAGGAAATTTGGGGGGGAACTATATGATAGGGTATTTTTTGAGATGTGTGTATATGTGTGTGTTTTTAAACCAAACTGCAAGTGTCAGAACTACAGCATTTGCCTTCAGAATTTGTTTTGCACACATAAGATTACATCTGGGAGATCAACTTCATGATATACTTAAACTTATGTTATTTAAAACCATTCTAAGAATCAATCTTTCTTTGAGTGAAAATTAAGTTGAAGACTTTTTCGTTACTGATTTTCCAAATGAAATGATTTGAAAACTAGAGAAAATCCTTTTCGGTAATATATTTTGCAAGTTCAAATCTTTTTTCTTTGCTATCTAAGGAATAGACTTAGAGTTAGAAATTTTTATGCTGCTAATAAAATGTCATGTAAAAGTGAGACTAGGTACAATTAAATTCTTCTATATTAGTCTCAAAAAAGAGAAAATCTAGATTTTGGATTGATCTGTATCTTATTGTCTCAGATTTAATGTATATCAAACATTTTTGTGGAATGCATTTTACACAGAAGAATGGTAAAAATGCACATACGTGGTTTAAAAATAGTGATAAATATCCAGTTGCCCAGGAACTGAGGTCAAGAACATTTTTCAGAACCTTAGACTCTCCTTGTGAGCCCCGCCCATTTGAATTCCTAGAGGTAACCACTATCTTTTTATTTGAATTATTCATTCCCTTGCTTTTCTTTTGTATTACTGCCCATGCATATATCCTTAAACAGTGCATTGTTTTAGTTTTGGAAAACTCAACAATAAGCACACATGTAACTGTAAGGAAGGGCAATGTTGCTACTATTATAGCAAGGTTCTCTGACAACTATATATATATATATATATACACACACACACACTTTTTTTTTTTTTTTAGGTGAGAAAGTAGGAATTTATTAAGACAAGAAAGCTCCTGGCAGTGGGAGGGGTCCCAAAGGGTTGCCCGGCAACAATATATTAAGCAGTTTCTAATTTAGTATTTTAGTAGCTTTTCATTTTACATGTTGCTAATTTTTAGTAATTTAATCGTCCTTAGCACTTTATATTTCTCATGCAGCTTTAGGCTTCTTCCCTACTCAGTTGAAATTTTTTGCTAAAGGTCTTTAGTAATTTTCTGATTGCCAAGTTCGCAAAATTCTTTTAGTTCTCACTTTACTTGACTTCTTTTTTTTTTTTTTTTTTTTTGAATTGGAGTTTCACTTTGTTGCCCAGGCTGGAGTGCAGTGGCATGCTCATGGCCACGGCAGCCTCAACCTATTGGGCTCAGGCGATCCTTTCGCCTCAGCATTCCAAGTAGCTGGAACTACAGGCATGCGCCACCACTTCTGGCTAATATTTTGATTTATTGTGGAGATGAGGTCTTACCAAGTTGCCCAGGCTGATCTCGAACCCATGGGCTCAGGCAATCCTCTCACCTTGGCCTTCCAAAGTGCTGGGATTATAGGCATGAGCACAGTGCCTGGTCTTACTTGACTTCTAAGGAGATTCTAAGATGTCAAGTAAATTTGGATGAAATTTGTTGCTCTCATCTTGTAGTTTTTAAAAATCCTCCTGGGTTTCTTCGTCTCTGTGCTTTCCTTGTTATTATATTTCTACTGTTTTATAATTTGCCATCTGTTTTTACCCAGATTATTTTTAAGTGTGGGCATGGGATTTGTCTTGTTGAGCATATCTCCAGCTTTTTGCAAAGTTCCTAGTAGATGTGACTAATCAATCACTGCATGTTTAATGACAAGCTTTTCTCCCTGTCTCCTTAGATCCACTTGGTCATGGATACTTGATTTTCTAATAAGCAATACTCCTTTTCTATGCTTTTCTTTTATCTTGTCACTTTCCTAGCTCAAGCCCTCCCCGTTTCTCACTTGAACTACTACTGAGGTAGTTTTTTTTGGGGTGTTTTTTTTGAGTTGGACTCTCACTCTGTCGCCCAGGCTGGAATGCAGTGGCATACCCACGGCCACTGCAGCCTTGACCTGCTGGTCTCAGGCGATCCTTCTGCTTCAGCCTTCCAAGTAGCTGAAACTATAGGCATGTGCCACCATGCCCAGCTAATTTTTTGACTTATTGTAGAGATGAAGTCTCACCAAGTTGCTCAGGTTGGTCTCGAATTCTTGGTCTCAGGCATTCCTCTCACCTTGGGCATTCCTCTCACCTCGGCCTCCCAAAGTGCTGGGATTATAGATGTGACCTACTGTGCCCGGCCTACAATAGTCTTTTAGTTAGTAGTTCTCCTCTAATCTGTCCTATATACTGTTGCCAGAGTGATACTTCAGAAGTGCAATTCTGATCTTCCTGTCATTGTACCTTCTTCCTTATACCCTGTCATTGACTTCTCATGGCCCCTTATAGTGTTTCTCATTCTGTGTTCCCATTGACCATCTAAGGGCTCTGTGAACTCCCTAAACTGCCATATATTTTGTGTATGTACATTTTGGGAGAAGGCCTCAAGATTCTCAAGGGGCCATGATCTAAAATCCAGCAATTAGCTTATTGGAAGATACCTTATTGCAAAGCCCTTTCTGATCTGGCTCTTTCCTCTTTTTAGCCTTTCTCTTTCTCGGTCATCCATCATTGTGTCACATGCCTTAACCATGCTGAATTATTTGTCCTTGCCATCCTTGAGAAGCAGTGTAACTTAGTGGTTAAAAATGAAGACTTGGAGCCAGAGTGTCTGACTTTTGGCAAGAAACTGTGCCTCACTTTCTTATCTGTTTAAGGAAAGGTGTGGGAGTTGATGATAATATTAGCATTTCATTGGATTGAGAGTTAATACATGAGTTAATTTACAGGTAAAAAAAATGGAAAAGTACTTTGCTTGGTAAATTTTAGTTCCCCGTCATTGTCGTTCCCTTACCTCTGTACTTTTTCCAGTGGTATTCTCTTTTTCACCACCCCAACCCACACTTTGCCAGCTGGTGGACTTTTTCTTCTCTTTAAGGACTTAGACCAAGTGTAGCTACTCTGTAAAATCTTTCCTGACCTCTACAGTTCTTCTTAGTAGAACTATTATTTGTGCTTCTGTTAGATCCTCTTTACTTTACTGTATTTATTGTTTCCTTGTCTGTCTCTTTTCCTAGAGTGGGCTTTTTTAGTCCTATTTATTTCCATAGCCTATCACATTTTATTTATTGATTAAATTGTAAGTTTTTATTTATTGATTAAAATGTGAGTTCTAATTGCAATAGAAAAATTGAGTTTGCATATGACTTTTTAGTCAGTAAGGAAAATTGGTGAAGGTAGGAAAAAGTTTTTAAAAACATGATGGGAAATATAAGATATGATGCCGGGGTATACTCAGGGTCATGGCAGGAAACAGATAGTGTGCTCTAGTTAGACAATTTGGGGAGAATTTAGTAAAAGGACTGTTTTCAGTGAGTAGCATATTGGATATACTGTGAGTAAGGTATAGGAAGCCACAGGGAATAACGGTGTACTCTGGGTCTCCTGAAAGCAGGAGATGGGGGAGGAAGTAAATATCAGGACCTGGAGGAGGAGAGCTGGAGGGAGATACAACCAGCAAGGAATGCTGCCAGTCAAGGCAATTTTTCAGGGAAGGTGTCTGGGAAATCAATTTCTTGATCTTCCTTTTGTTTCTTCCTCCAAATCGCCTGTTTCCCTGCTGAACCTAACTGGGAAACAGCAAGGGAACCAGTTGATGCCAGTTAGGCTCTGAAGTGCAACAGAGCATGGTAAAAAATGGAGAGAGTGAATCTGGAGGGGCAAGATGACCCAGCACAGAAGGATGTTAGTTGGTAGCCTGATAAATTAGAATATACTATATCAGAGCTTCTCAGCAGCCAGTATGGAGAACACATAATCTAATAACAATTAACAGTATCTATAATACTGTTAACAAAATAGTTCCTAATGAGAAACACAGCTATTCCTGATACTAAAAGAAATGACACAGAAGAGTGATTTTTGACCATAGGTCCTCAGGAGAAGAAACAAATACAGAAAACATCATTTTCACTATGATAAATGCAAAACAAGTTACATCTGACTATATTTTGAAGACCTTCACTATAGGCTATCATAATACGTTATTGCAGTTTATATAAAGCTTTTCTTCCAGAGGTTCTTCTCTGATATTCTGGCTTAATCTAGGTGGTAGTAGAATAGACAGGATCAATACCGTCAGATGGTCTCCATGAAGGTTATTTCTGTAGCTAAGCTTTTGGTAAACATTTCATTCAGTTAAGAAAATTTAAAGTTCTGTTCTCTGTCAGGTAACTGGAGACCAAATATATTCAATATTGCTGATTAAGGGCAGGTTCATATAGTTAATAGCCAACAGGGTTTGGTGACATCTTGTGAAAATTTATTACATTAGTAATGACACATGTGACTACTTCTGTAGCAAAGTAGGCCAAGGGACAACTTCTCAGGAGAGCCTGTGTTTCCTCAGAATACAGTTCACAATATTCCTACATAAATACAAATGAGGGATTTAAAAACTGACTTAAATAGAGTGTGACTGCGGGAATTCTTAAAGTGATATTTGCATGTACCTATCTGAGAAGTTTAAAAAAATTGCAAAATAATACATAGATCATTTCATTAATTCAGAATACATTTATACCTTCTGAAGTGCTGGGCACACTCTCCATGTTATTGAACATACAGGAATAGGTAAAATAAACATAATTCCCTTTTCTACATGTCTCACTGCAAGCAGTATACCTTCCAGTTGAGCCATCTACAATAAACTAGTGCTTTCATTCAGATTATTCAGGGTAGTACTGTGTACAACAAATTAGTAACTGTTGGAGGATAAGTTACTGCATTGGTGTGGGGTAGTTTCTCATAATAATTAGATAGCAGTGCTAATTGTTTTACTAAGGCCATTTCTATTTCATAACAAAATTCTGATTCTAACATAAGACTGTGTGCCTTTTTGTTTTCTTTAGCCCCTGGAAGTGGGGAGGAGGAGAGGGGGAGGATGCATGTAATCATTAAAATTAATACCAGCACACCCATCTGTGTTTTACATTCCTTGAAAATAGTTTGGTCTGTTTGTAGACTAGTCCTCCTAATCTTGACTCTTTGTAAACATTAATAACAGTATCAGTAGGCTTATACAATTTTGTTCAAATACAGCTCTTCACAAAGATTAAAGAAAAAGTTGCAAGTAGTCTTTGGTTGTTTCCAACAGATTTTTCTCCAAGTTTTTAAACATCTTAAATGGTTAAATAACTATTAAGGAATCTGATATGAGTATTAAATAAAAGGTTCTTTTTCTTATTTATAGGCATTCTTTTTTTTTTTGTATCATGCTTGAGAAATTTTTTTCTATATCAAGATTATAAAAGATATTTTCTTTTTAAACATTTAAAAGCTGTTCTTTTCACATTTATTTGAGATGTATAGTGTGAGGTACAAAAAATTCCCCCTTTTTAAAACTGGTTAGAAAAATCTGCTACCAAGGTTAAATACATAGATAAGAAATTTTTAAAAATAGGTGTCACATTTTGTTTTTGGTAACAAAATCTTATAACAGTCCCTTAATATAAATGCACTCTCTGCCATTTGGCCTTATTTTAAAGAGCAGTTTTTTTGCCTCCATATTGTTAAAATGTCACCTTTACATGAACAGGCAGATTAATATCTGCTAGAAAGGTAGGATTAATTATTGTGTATGGGGATAGATAGGGGTCTTGTTTGAATCTTCTGCATGTGGTCAGCCAGTTTTCTGGAGGGGAAGGGAAGTGGGATTAATGGTAGTCAATATTTGTCTGGGGATGGTGCGGCACACCTCATCAACAAGGGTATCTTCACAATGCATATTTGTATACCTAACCCTTAACTGTACCCCACAATTTTAAAATAAAAAATATGTTAAAAAAAGAATATATACTTTCATAAAAAGCAAAGAAAAAAAGAAAAAGGTAGGAAATAGTGGCTTTTAATGGTCTCCTGTTTTGGTTATGTAGCTAAACAATGAAGCTTACTTGCTTACCCATGCGTAGACTATATGTGGAGAGATATTATTATCTTCACAGAAGGGAACTGTCATTGAAAAGTTTCCTTTTCACTGAATACACATTGTTGTTATATGTACCTTTATTATGAAAATTTTAAAAATGAAAATTAAAAAGAAAGATCATCTGCTAGGTAGGTGATCTATTACTGCTTGATTTTTTATAAGAGAAAAGTGAATAGACAGGCTAAGTTCTACTACTTTTTTAACTCCAGTATTGAGATATAGTGTAAGCTTCTGTGTGGTACAATTTTTTTGGCCTCCTATCTTATTACTATTTTAAGATTACTATTGAAGGACCTTGCTTTTCATAAAATTGACCACATTGATAGAATTCTGTAGCACACAAGTGACGAGCTCTGTGTGGAATGTCTACTCTTCCCTCAGGATTCCTCTACTATTCCACACGACACTTGACTCTCTGGCATAGGGTAAAAGTGGAGGTGCCAAATTGTTCTATATATTAAATGTTAGTTTCTTTCTTTTGTGGGGAATAAAATGTAGACATAATGAACATTCAAATATTTTCCTAAATTACTCAATTTTGGAAGCATGTTTTATAACTGTACATAAATTGATTTTAAAGGATATGAATAGCCGGGCTCGGTGGCTCAGCCTGAATCCCGTGCCTTTGGGAGGCTGAGGTGAGCGGATTGCCTGAGTCCGTGGGTTCGAGACCCGCCTGGGCAGGTGAGACCTCATCTCTACGATAAATCAAAAAATTAGCCGGGCGTGGTAGCGCACGCCTGTAATTCCGGCTACTCGGAAGGCTAAGGCTGAAGGATCGCCAGAGCCCAGCAGGTCGAGGCTGCGGTGGCCGGGAGCGGCCACTGCACTCCAGTGTGGGTGACAGAATAAGACTTCAACTCAAAAAAAAAAAAAAAAAAAAGGGATATAATATCCTAATAAGCAGTCTTAATTTATTTAGATAATAAATAATGCCATAATTATTTCATAGTTGAGAACTTGAGAACTATTTGAAGTTTATACTTCTAAAACAAATTCAGACTAATCTTCATGAATGGTTCAAGTTAATGAACCTTTAATTTGCTTTATTACTTGAGGTATTGACTTTTTCCTTCCATGCTTCTTAAGTAATAGGAGTGAAACATCCACATCTGATAATACAGAAATGTACCAAGAGAATACAAGGTAAGTTTTTGAAAAAATTCTGCTACTTTAGTAAGTAGTCATCATTTTATCAAATAGTAATCTGTTTTTAAAATAAACTTTTTTTATTCAGTTAAATCACTAGTCATAATGTTAGAAGTCAGCAGTTTAGAAATAGACAATACGGGCTGGGCGTGGCTCAAGCCTGTAATCCCAGCACTTTAGGAGGCGGAGGCGAGAGGATTGCCTGAAACCAGGGGTTCGAGACCAGCCTGGGCAGCTTGGCAAGGCTTTGTCTCTATGATAAATCAAAAAATTAGCCAGGCATGGTGGGGCATGCCTGTAGTTCCAGCTGCTTGAAAGGCTGAAGCGGAAGGCTCACCTGAGCCCAGCAGGTCAAGGCTGTGGTGGCCGTAAGCATGCCACTGCATGCCAGTCTGGGTGACAAAGTGAGATTCCAACTCAAAACAAAAAACAAAAAGAAATAGACAATGCAGTTGCTGCTTTTAAGAATCATATTAGATGAGAAGAGTTTAGCTTTCCTCTTTCACTATGATCAGGTTTTCCATGCATGGTTCAGGTGTCCCTTGCTGAAATTCAGAAGTATTAAAACCCAGTGGTGCATGATCCTTAAAATGTCTTGAAGTGTTTCATTCTGGTGATCAGTGCTTTTGTTTGTTGCTTTTCCTTTGATTTTTGTATGTTAGATTCCTGGGGCCTAGGATAGACTAAAGATGCGATATTGATGGAAGTCTTTCAGTTTTCAGTTCCTAGATACAGGGTTTCTAAACTGTGGGACACCACAGGATAATTAAAATTTTCAAGGGACACATACTAACAGCTATTGGCATCACATGAACGACTATCATTAAGTTTGGACCTAAGTACTTGATAAATGGAGCCAGCTAAGTTTTCAGTTTTTGTTTTTGTTTTGACTTAGAGGCACCATGAAAAATTAACTGGGAGCACCAAGTACAGTAAGTCCCCTACATATGAGTGAGTTCTGTTCTGAGAGTGTGTTCTTAAGTCCAACAAAGTTAGCATAGGTACTCAACTAACACAATCGACTCTAAAATACTATACTGTAATAGGTTTATAATACTTTTCACACAAATAATACATAAAAGACAAAAAAGTAAAGAAAACATTTTTAATCTTACAGTATAGTACTTTGATAAGTATAGTAGTTGTTGCTTGGTACTTCTTAGCTACAAGCTACTTCACCACTGCTTTTATGCTTGCTTCCAGACATCATGGGCTTGAAATAAGGTTACTGTACTACTGTACTCTATACAGTACTATACGATAAAGTTCACCAAAGCACAATCACACTTGTGAGGCTGCATGCACATAACAGTGTACACCAGACATGTGAACTAACTTTTATATTGGACATGGGAACATATGTTCACATCTTTGAAAGTTTGCAACTTGAAGGTTCTATGTAGGGGACTTAATGTAGTATAAACTGAGATTGTTTGGGAACCTTTGTTCCACATCATTTGTTGAAAACATTTTCAAATTCTGAGAATCTTTGAATAGTTTTTTGGTTTTTTTTTTTTTTTTTGAGTTGGAGTCTCACTCTGTCACCCAGACTGGAGTGCAGTGGCCGCTCCCGGCCACCACAGCCTCGACCTGCTGGGCTCCGGCGATCCTTCCGCCTCAGCCTTCCGAGTAGCCGGAATTACAGGCATGCGCTACCACGCCCGGCTGATTTTTTGATTTATTGTAGAGATGAGGTCTTGCTGCCCAGGTGGGTCTCGAACCCGCGGGCTCAGGCAATCCGCTCACCTCAGCCTCCCAAAGGCGCGGGATTACAGGCTGAGTCACCGAGCCCGGCTTAAATAGTTATTTAATAATTCAAAGTAGTCAAACATTAGAAGAGCATCGTTTTTATGTTATGACTTTGAATTAAGTATTCTTCATTTAAAATTGTTTTATAGTTCTTCTGGACATCCAACTTTTAAGTGTCCCCTGTGTCAAGAGTCAAATTTTACCAGACAGCGTTTACTGGATCACTGTAACAGTAATCATCTATTTCAGATAGTTCCTGTGGTAAGTACATATGTTAGAGGTAGTCTTCTGCTTAGATTGAAGCATGCTGTTCCGTTTATTTCACCTCAGTTATACAGGGAAGGTAGTTGATTTAAATTTGGACGGGACATTATCAATAAAGTAGATTTTTGTCAACAAAGGATTAATGATTAAGAAACAATGAAATATTTAAAATTACAGAACTCATTATAAAAAGGGAGGTGTTTATTTAAGTGAGGTAATACAGGAGAACAGTCTGGAGAAGAGTAAAGTAATGAAAGCTGAACTGGGAGCCCATTCCTGATCAGTGGTAGAACCTAAGTCTCTTGGGTCTGCTCCATTTTCTTGCTCTATGGAATGCAGATGAGTGGATCTGGTCAGCTAGATCTGCTGCAGAAGATCTACCTGTAAGAAAGAATAAAGTCAGTAGGTATTTTCAGTTGTGTCTTTGCAGAATCTAAGCATTTATAAATGCATAAAGCAAGAAAGGAAAATAATTGTACTTTCTTTCTGATGTATACTTATTTTTGATGACATTTTGAGGGTAAGTGGTGAGACCTTGTGATAAATGAGGGAGATAGAGCAGGGTACAGAGTTCCAACATTGTAATAATGGTCCTAGAACTCCTCAGTTCAATTCAAACATGAGTCTCACAGATTAGTTGTTTCATCTGTGAATGGGACAAGAGAAACTGGGCTGGGATATACTTCCTTTTTAGCTGAACATTTTGATATATAAATATTGTCTTCAGAAATAAGAATAGGAAGGAAAGTGTTACCAATAAGAATTGTAGATATTTTGAAGCTGTTAGTAAATGTACTAGAAAAAATTTGTGAAAGAATATGCCCCAGTAACTATTGAGGGTGACTTTAAACTCTCACTACTACTTACTTTGCTCATTAGAAGAGAGTCACAGTTAAATAAACAAGTACAGTACCAAAGAAGTCTCCAGGAAATCTCTCTCATATTTAAGAGATTTCACGTAGTTTTATATTGTTACCAAATTTTTATTCATTTCTGCATAATATTCAGTGTATCAAAAACTTTGGGTAGAGTTCAATTACTAGAGTTTCTTTCTTTCTTTTTTGAGTTATAGTCTTACTCTGTTGTCCAGGCGGGAATGCATGGACATGCTCATGGCCACTGCAGCCTTGACCTGATGGGCTTAGGCGATCCTTTTGCCTCAGCCTTCTAGGTAGCTAGGACCAGAGGTGTGTACCACCACGCCAGGCTAATTTTTTTTTTTTTTTGATTTGTTGTAGCGACAAGGTCTCGCTAAGTTGCCCAGACTGGTCTCGAACTCCTGGGTTCAGGCAATCCTCTTGTCTCTACCTCCCAAAGTGCTGGGATTACAGGCATGAGCTACTGTGTTTGGCTAGAGTTTCTTTTTATATCATTTCAGTATGTCATTCATTCACTTTTTTTTATTCACTTTTTTTTTTTTTTAAGTTGGAGTCTCACTCTGTCACCCAGACTGGAGTGCAGTGGCCACTCCCGGCCACCGCAGCCTCCACCTGATGGGCTCGGGCGATCCGTCCGCCTCAGCCTTCCTGGAACTACAGGCGTGCGCTACCACGCCCAGCTGATTTTTTGATTTATTGTAGAGATGAGGTCTCGCCAAGTTGCCCAGGTGGGTCTTGAACCCGTGGGTTTAGGCAATCCACTCACCTCAGCCTCTCAAGGTGTGGGATTACAGGCTGAGCCACCGAGCCCGGCTTCATTCACTTTTTAAGATGTACTTTATTTAAAACTTTGATACAATTTAAGGTAAATTCTGCAATTTATATCATTTTCATTTTACTTATAAATAAAATGAAGCTAATTATAAGTATAATCAAATGAGATTATATACTGGGTATATTGTAGGCAATTAGTGATAACTATTATTACAATTGGTAGTATTAAAAGCTGGATGTAGTCTGTTGAAACTGTTGTATAATTACATGTTTAACTAATAGATTGTCTAAGATCTCTTATGTTCTGTTAGATTAGTGTCATTTATATAAGGTAATTTGGTTGGGAAATGATCTAGTCATGGAATTTGACCTTTAGAAATGCTTTTTATGTAAATATTTTTGGTAACATATGTCCGTGATAGTTTAATACTCTCAATAATTATATAACAATTCATTTTATTATTTTTCTATGTAAAACAATCTATTTCTTATAGACATGTCCTATTTGTGTGTCTCTTCCGTGGGGAGATCCCAGCCAGATTACTAGAAATTTTGTTAGTCATCTAAATCAAAGACATCAGTTTGATTATGGAGAATTTGTGGTAAGTGAATTCTTCAAAATTAAAGTATAGTTTAAATAATTAACTTTTTCTATCTAGACTTGAGTTTTGAAGCCAGCTGGTGTATCATACTGGATGGATATGGAGTAAATTATTTGATTTTTAATATTAATATTGGTAAACTTTAATTTGTAGAAGTGGTGAAAGTTGAATTTACGTTCACCTCTTAGAGAGAGAGGACTAATAGAGAAAGAGCAAACCCCTGGATTAACGAAATGATAATTTATATAAGACTTACAGAAAATTTGCCTACAAGAGAAGTAAAATTGGTATAACATATAAAATATATATTTCTCATGGAATGTAAGTTGCTTGTTAAACTCACTATACTTTCTCAAATCTATCATATGAGACATGTTCTTAAGAATGAGAGAGCTTAATTATCAAGCAAAGCCAGGATGACTTTAACAGGGTGAGGGACATTACATAATGTAAAATGGATCTGTAAAGTAAAATGTGAGGTAGTTTATACTTCCAAGTGTATTGTGATAATTTTTTAAATAGGTGATAACATTGGTTTTACTAATTGTGAAGTTGCATTTTATTCCACTTCAGTGTAATTAAAACCTTACTTAAGGTTAATCCTGACAAGGAAAGACTGCTTTTTTTTTTTAGTTTAGGTAAATATAGGCATGTGAAATTTTCAGTGACATGAACAAAATCTACATTTTTCTTGGTCCTCCAGTGTTGAAATTACATCATTCTTGATAAATGTTTTTAATTTTGTAGAATTTGCATTTTTTAGTGTATTGCATAATAACAATTCAAATTTAATGATGAAAACACTTAGATACGGAATAGAAGGGAACTCCCTCAACCTGATAAAAGACATCTATGAATAACACACAGCTAACTTCACACTTGATGGTAAAGGACCAAGAGATTCCCCTTAAGAGCATGTGCAAGACAAACATGTCTACTTATGCCATTCCTATTCAACATTGCACTGGAGATGTTAGCCAAGACAATTAGGCAAGAAGATAAAATAAAAGCCATCCGGAATAAAAAGGAAGTAAAGCCACCTGCTTGCAGAAAATGTGACCTTGTATATAGAAAATTCTAAGGAATCCACTAAAAACCTATTTGAATTAATAAATGAGTTCAGCACCGGGCGCAGTGGCCCACGCCTATAATCCCAGCACTTTGGGAGGCCGAGGTGAGAGGATTGCCTGAGCCCATGGGTTCGAAACCAATCTGGGCAACTTGGCTAGACCTCATCTCTACAATAAATAAAAAAATTAGCCACGGTGGCACGTTGCCTATGGTGTAAAATTCTGATGTACTTTATTGCTTTAGCAATTTTATGAAGTAATTTTAGATTATTATTAAATGCTCATTGTAAGACAGGTTACTGTGTCTAGACAAGTGTAATTAGAAATACAAAAATATATTTTGTGAACCACTTTTGATCTAATTGTCAGATTGTTTTTCCTTACCATAGAAAACTAGGTAATTTTAATTATTTGAAATTGTTAAGTAGCAGCCTTGGCAGATTTGAAAGCAAAATCCATAGGTCATAAAATTGACAGCAAATGGAATTTTAAATTTTATCTTTATTTTAAAGACAGTGTCTCACTCTGTCACTCAGGCTAAAGTACAGGGATTATAGGCATGAGCCACCATGCCCAGCCGCTTATTTTCTTTAACATCAATTTACCTTCAGATATTTGACATTCTTTTCTAGAGGTGACACAAAATATATCACTTATGATTGTGTGCTACAATTAATCTCACTTTTTTCTTTTTAAATTATGAGACACCCAGCACTTTGGGAGACCGAGGCGAGTGGATTGTCTGAGCCTGTGGGTTCGAGACCAGCCCAGGCAACTTGGTGAGACCTTGTCTCTACAATAAATTGAAAAAATTAGCTGAGTGTGGTAGTTCCAGCTACTTGGAAGGCTGAGGTGGAAGGATCGCTGGAGCCTAGCTGGTCGACACTGGGGTGGCTGTTGAGTGTGCCTGTGCTCCAGCCTGGGTGACAGAGGTGAGACTCCAACTCAAAAAAAAAAAAAATTGAGACAGAATCTTTCTATGTTGCCCATGCTGACCTTGAACTTTTAGGCTCAAGTGATCTTCCTCAGCCTCCTGAGTAGCTGGGACTCCAGGCATATGCTGCCATACCCAGCTTTACAATAAAGTTTACTTTTGTTTTTGTTTTGTTTTGTTTTGTTTCTTAGTGAGTAAGCATGATTTATTGAGAGAACAGAGGAGAGGCGCTCCCAGGGTTGGAGGGGACCTGAGGGGGTTGCCCCAACTCTACTTTTGATGAATGACTTACCATAAGGTGCTATAATGCTCAAATTTCATTCTCTGCTGGTCCTTTCTATTGTTTATTAGTTATTCCAAAATAATTACACCTGAACTTAATTTTTTTTTTTTTGAGTCAGTCTCCAGGCTGTAGTACAGTGGCACGATTATGGCTCACCACAGCCTTCTTCTCCTGGGTTCAGGCAATCCTTCTGCCTCAGCCTCCCAAGTAACTGGGACTACAGGCACACGCCACAATGCCTGGCTGTTTTTTTTTTTGGTGGGAGGGTGAGCAGGTGGAGACAGGGTTTCTCTGTGTTGCCCAGTCTGGTCTCAAACTCCTGAGCTCAAGTGATCCTCTTGCTTTGGCCTTCCAAAGTAGTTAGGATTATAGGCATGAGCCACCATACCTGGCTATAAATCTTGTATTTTAAATGATACATGTGTATAAACTGTCCTGAGTGTGTGTAATGATATCAAGATGTATAATATATTGGGCGAAGTATTTGAGTAGTTGAGTATGTTTTTCCTGTTGACATGTAATGTTGTTGTTTTTAGAATCTTCAGCTAGATGAGGAAACCCAATATCAAACTGCTGTTGAAGAATCTTTTCAAGTAAACATTTGAAGGCTGTGGACATTCTCTGCATCTTTGTACCTGCAAGTGCCATCTTTAAGGGGAAAACTACATGAAGTCACCATTTGAATAACGTGATGTGTATACTAATAAAAGTAATTTAGTCTATTGTTTTAGACTTTTGATTGCAAAATAAAGGTGGATCATCTAAAAACTTCATCCTCTCAATAAGTGAAAAAATGAAAGTTATAACATTAGCTTTAAAAGCGTAAAAAGGATTGTATCTCGGTAATGTAATGGTGAAAAGGGAATCCCTGTTATACTTTATCTTTTTTATATTAAATATTTTTGAATTTTTCATTATGTTGCTTTTGAAATTAGATACAGTTCCTCTCATTGACTTTATTGTACACAGGTAGCACATGGCAGCAAATTCTGAAAGATGTGATTAATATAAACCTAACAAATCTGAGCCAGTTATCAGAGTTGCAGAATAGAAACTTGAAATGCTAAATGGAACAAACAGTCCAAAGGAAATTTTTAAAATACAGATTCTAGCTGAAGAATTGAACTATAAGAAATCATATTCATATAATAGCGTTTAGTATTTTTGAAGACTAGTGAGATTTCTGTAATAATTTTGACCCTTTAAAAAGTGAGAGCTCATTGGTAAAGATATTTTCTTTTTGCTATTAGAAGGAAATGCAAAGACAAAATGTATTTCTTTGAATGGGCAGTTGGTAATTTCAATCTTGTTTATTTGACTAACTTGTAAGCCTGGAATATACTAAGCTGAATAACAGCTTTTTGGCTGCAGAATTTTCAGTAGCCAGTATTTCTGATTAGCTAAGATGAAACTTTTATTAGAAACTTTCAGTTGGTGATACTGTATTCTACAGATATATTTAAATGAGAGGTTCAGCTTCATCTCAGTCTAGAAATTCATTCAAAGCTAAATATGTGTATGTATATATACACAGACTTTTGTGTGTGTATGTATACACACATATGTGTTTGTAGTTTGTCAGGTTGTGTATGGAATTTCCCCTAAGATTTTTTAAATGGACAAGCAATAGGGGATTGAAGTGTTTATTTGATTTGTTGAAATTTTGTTTATAACGAAATTTTTAAAAAGTAACAGTCACATTGCTAAGTGATCTAGTTGGCTGTTCTTACACCTTAAATTGAGTTTACACACAGTTACCTGTTATTATGGTGCTCATTTGTTACTCTCAAAGATAATGCACGACTATGATGTAGTGAGGCAAATTCTACCAGCCACTGTTTCACTACTTTTTAGTCAAAACCTGGTTTGTTTTTAATACTTATTGAGAATCACAAAATGTTTTATAAACGGCCCAAATCAGAATAAAAGATGAAGAGTGGATTGGCTGACATTCCATACTAATAAACATTGTTTATGCTTTCTTTAAAATAACTAAAACAATATAAAAGAAAAATCTCAAGTAGTTTGCTGCTAATATATACATATATTGTATAAAAAGGTATATTTTGGTTTTGTTAAAACCCTTGTTGACTTTTCTACAGTGAACATTTTTTTAACTTGATTTAATAAAAAATGTTAATTTTGGAAGTGGAGTTTTGTAAAAACCTTTTTGAGTCAACAGTAATGACTTTATTTATGGACAGTAATAACAACCACAAAAAAGCCATACATCTTAATGAACATATGCCTCTGTTCTGTCATTTTAAAGAGTGATGTTTACTATGTGCTTGAAATTTTCTCTGCAGTTACATGAGTGTAATTTTAAGGATAGCTATATAATGAACTCTTTTTAAAGACACTTTTGACCATATTTTTTTTCCAGATTACAGCAATAACTAGTAATTTTTTCTTTAGTGTTTAATACATTCAGTATGTCAAGTTAAACTATTCTGGGATTTGAGAACTAAAAGAAAATTGCAGTAGAGATCATCTTGATGATAATTATGTTTTGAAGTTTTGTGGATAAGTTAAATATCATTAATAGTCTGTCTCACATATGAGCTTTTTCATAAGGAAAATGTTGACTTTATTTGCCTTTATCTGGGAACTCCACAGGATGGAAATGACTCTTTAAATTTCCCCTCCTTTTGTCAGTGGATTGGGAATAGGGATAGGCTTTACAGATTTAATTTATGGAAATTAAATTTATGGAAGAAAGTTCTTATTTTTAATATTGTTTATAGCTGAGTCATGATAAAGGAGAAAAACTGTATTGGAGTACTCTGATAACTAATTTCACAATACCATTTAGGAAAGCTTTTTTTCTCTACAAATTACAGTTTATGTTGTTAAACACAGAGTCTTATTTGAGATGTATTGCTTTATTTTTCAATTAAAAGTGGTTTTCTCCTACTTGTGTGTCTAATTAAAATTTTGTCTAGAGGCAAACATTTCACTCCCATAACTTACCCTGAAAGACATGTAGGAGATAACCCATTCTTGCACTTTAAAAAGTGGATAGGAAAAAGTTACCACCTGCTGATGCTATGTGTTAGATTTAACTTTATAAACCTATTTTATCTATTTCAAGTGTTAATCACTGTCTAAAGCTATTTTATGAAGTGTCTATGCAACAGGATTGCTAGCAGCTAGACAGAAGGCTAGTTAACTGGTTAATAAACACTTGTATATGGAGAAATTACTCTTAAGTAAGTATTTAGAATTATAAGAATGTATTGCCAAATACACAATGCCATATAACTGTTGGGCTGCTTGGTAAGTATCGTGATCTTCAGTGCATCACAATGTCTATAGAAGCCCTTTAGGGCTGCTACTCAAACCTTTTTTAGAAGGTGTGACAGTTTAGCATACTGTATGGAAAAGGTGTGATCCAAAAAATATAAATACATGTAGTATAAAATTCATACTAGAAGTATAAGTAAAGCATTTATCCTATGATACCACTTATTGTGTAACATAATTATCTAATTGTGCAGTTCAGTTTTGAAAGAAGATGGGAAATGGAAATGAATTATATTAAAAGATGAAAGGGGGCTACAGGAATCTCAGGACAAAGACTGTTATAGCCTCCCCCCCCCCCCACACACACATACATGCTTCAACTGCAGTTGTCCAGTGCTGGGATTGAGAGAGATCACAGATGTCACATTTTCCTTCCCGCTCCTGAAATAAGTGGGTATACAACTCCTGAAATAAGATAAATGGATATACAGTACAGTGTTCTGTGTAACAAAAATTTTTTTTTTCAAGTGAGTTCAACTTTAATAATACATTTTGTTTAACATATCCAGAATATTATTTCCACAGGTAATCAATATAAAATTAATGGCATATTTTACATTTTTTTCATATTAAGTATTTGGAGTCTGGTGTGTACTTTACAATGACAGCACATCCCAATTCGTATGCTAACTTTTTTTTTTTTTACAGATTCTGCTTAGTGTTTTTTTTTAAAGATGTGGTATACAAGTCAGGATTTGGGTGGATAAGTGGTCTAGGTATAGGTGAAGTTTGGGCCTCCCATTGGCCCTCACTTTGCCTGGATTAGGATGAGGTACCCTTATTGATTTTATGTGCTCCACCCTATTCCCCTGGTAGTGTCCTACTACTACCAATCCCTTTCTTACAGTGTTTTGATAGGTGTTGAGGGTCAACTTATGAGTGAGAACGTGGTACTCAGTCGTTTGTTTCTGTATTAGATCATCGAGTATGATAGACTCCAATCCATCCAAGATGCTGTGAAGTTCATTGTGTTGTTTGATCCGGTTTGATACAATCTTGTTGAGAATTTTTGCATCTATGTTTTTTAGGATATTGACCTGTAGTTCTCTTTCTTTGTTGGGTCTTTGCCCAGTTTGTGTATCAGTGTGATGTTAATTTCATAAAATGATTTGGGGAGAGTTGTCTTTTTCGATTGCCTGGAATACTTTCAGTAGGATTGGTATCAGCTCCTCCTTGTATGTTTTGTAGAATTTCACTGGAAAGCTGTCCAGGTCAACCCCTCCCCCCTTTTTGTGGATAGTTTTCTTATGACAGAGTCAACTTCCTAGGTTGCTATTAGTCTATTTAGGGTCTCTATTTCTTCTTGTCTCAATCTTAGAAGATTGTGTGATGTCAGAAAGTCCTCCATTTCATTTAGGGTTTTGAATTTATTTCCATACAGGCATGCATAGTAATCACTGATAATCTTTTGTATTTCTTGGGGTCAATTGTGGCATGATCTTTTGCATTTCTGATTGTGTTTATTTGGGCTTTTTGTCTCTTTTTCTTGGTCAGTCTTGTTAAGGGTCTGTCAATCTTGTTTATCCTTTCGAAGAACCAGCTTTTTGTTTTGCTGATTTTTTCTATGATATTTTGTCTTCTGTGTCCTGTATTTGAGCTTTTACTTTGCTGATCTGGATTCTTCTGCTGAAGTTAGGGTTTTGACGGTCTTGCCTTTTCAGACCCCGAGGTGATTTGTTAGGCTGGTGACTTGTGATCTTTCTGTTTTCTTGATGCGAGTTTACAGAGATATAAATTCCCCTTCTAGAACTGTTTTCATGGCTTCTCAGAGGTTTTGGTAAAATGTGTCTTTGCTTTCATTTATTTCCAAGAATCTTTTAATTTCTGTTTTTTGTGTTGACCCAGGAGTTGTTCAGCATTGTGCTGTTTAGTGTTCATGTCTTTGTGTTTTTGAGGGGGATCTTGTTGGTGGCGATATTTGTTTTTATTCTGCTATGGTCTGAGAAGATACACAATGGTATTTCAATCTTATGGAATTTGTTAATGCTTGATTTAGAGCCAAGGATTTGGTCAATCTTGGATTATATTCCACGTGGTGATGAATAGAATGTATATTCCATGGTTGTTGGGTGGGGTGTTCTGTAGGTATCGATTAAGTCCATTTGGTCAAGCATCAAGTTAGGGTTCTGGATCTTCTTATTGATTTTTGGTCTTGATTTATTTAGGGTTGTCAGTGGGGTATTTAAGTCCCCAGTTATGATAGTGTTAGAGTCAATATCCATTTTTAGTTTTCTTAGTAGTTGCTTTATAAATCCTGGTGCTCCTGTGTTGGGTGCATATATATTTAGATTGCATATTTCTTGATGGATTGAACCTTTTATCGTTATGTAGTGTCCTTCTGTATCTTTTTAAATTTTTGATAGCTTGAAGGTTGTTTTGTCTGATATTAAAATCATGATTCCTATTTCGTTTTTCATTTGCCTGAAAGTTTGTTTTCTATCCTTTAACTTTGAATCTGTGGATGTCATTTGTAGTGAGATGTGTTTCCTGGAGGCAGTTTTCTTGGGTTGTGCTTTTTTTTTTAATCCAGTGCCATTCTATGTTTTTTCAGTGGTGCATTTAGTCCATTCAGGTTCAGGCTGTCTACTGAAATGTGAATTTATTCCTGCCATGAGGCTCTTATAAAGTTTTTTTCTCTTGTTTGTTTTCTTTTAATTTTCAGGTTAATGTATATGTGTGTTTTCAAGTTTGCAGTCATGATGTTTTCTCTGTTGATTCTGTTTTCCTGTTCTGGGTGATTGCAGAAGTTAAGACAAGCAGGGCTGGGAAGTGATTATGGAGGACACTGGTAATCAGATGACTTACAGCCATTTGCTGAATGATGTAGAGAGAAGGAAGGATATACATGATGTGAGGGAGAAAAATTCACGTTTGTGTAAGTGGGCAGCAGTGGTATATGATGCTCAAAGTGCACAAAGTAAACAATAGCCTAAGTAATTCATACTTGGGTCAAGAAAAACATTACTAGACCCCTAGGTCCCTTTGTTTCTGCTTCCAGTCCCAGATCCCCACTATTGCAGTGTAACTTTTAATACCACATCTGGTTATTACACAACATAAGTGAAAGCACATGGTTAATATATTTTTTTTTTTTTTTTTTTTTTTTGAGTTGGAGTCTCACTCTGTCACCCAGACTGGAGTGCAGTGACCGCTCCCAGCCACTGCAGCCTGGCCTGCTGGGCTCTGGCAATCCTTCCGCCTCAGCCTTCCAAGTAGCTGGAACTACAGGCGCGTGCTACCACACCCGGCTAATTTTTTGATTGATTGTAGAGATGAGGTCTCACCAAGTTGCCCAGGCAGGTCTCGAACCCGCAGGCTCAGGCAATCTGCTCACCTCGGCCTCCCAAAGCGTGGGATTACAGGCTGAGCCACCGAGCCCGGCTGCAGTAGCATTATATCTTTAAAAAAGTACATACCTTAATTAAAAGTACTTTATTGCTAAAAAATAAAATGCTAATGATTATCTGAGTGAGCCATAAACAAGTGGAGGGTCTTGCCCCTGCTTTCATTACTGATCAGGGTGGTGGTTACTGAAGGGTTGGGTGACTGTGGAGATCTTTGAAAACAGGACAGCGGTCAAGTTTGCCACATCAATTGACTTTTCCTTTCACAAAAGCATGCTTTGTTTTTCCCCTCACAGATGACGTGGTCATCTAATGTGATACTGTTTGATACCATTTTACCCACAGTAGAACCTATTTCAAAATTAGTCAATCTTCTCAAACCCTTCTGCTGCTGTATCAACTAAGTTTATGGAATACTATAAATCCTCTTTTGTCATGTCAGTAATGTGCACAGCATCTTCACCAGGATAGATTTCAGTAATGTGCACAGCATCTTCACCAGGATAGATTTCGTCCAAAAAAAACAACTCCTCAAAGTTTTATATTGCAGCAATTCAGTCACATCTTTAGGCTCCACATCTAATTTTAGTTCTCTTGCTATTTCCACCACACCTCCAGTTACTTCCTTCAATAAAACATTGAAACCCTTAAAGTTATCTATGAGGATTAGAATCAACTTTTTCTAAAATCATGTTGATATTTTGACCTCTCATAAACCATGAATGTTCTTAATGACATCTAGAATAGTGAATTCTTTTCAGGTTTGTTTTTTTTTTTTGAGTTGGAGTCTCACTCAGTTGCCCAGACTGGAGTGCAGTGGCTGCTCCCGGCCACTGCAGCCTCGACCTGCTGGGCTCTGGCGATCCTTCCACCTCAGCCTTCCAAGTAGCTGGAACTACAGGCGCACACTACCATGCCCGGCTAATTTTTGATTTATTGT